CTTGGGAATCCAGGGCTCATGGAGCTCGGGGGGCTTGAGTGGTAGCTCTGCACAGAGTCCGCAAAGCTCTCTGTGTCGATCTGGAAGCCCAGGGGAGCTGGGGGCCTCTCCTGTGCCCAAGATTACAAAGCTTATGCAGACGTGTGGTCCCTGGGGACTCTCACTCATCCTTTCCTCACAGCTGGGAGCCTCCTCTGGCTCTGCACCAATCCTGGGTGGGCAGCTGTCCTGCCTTGCTTTTCTTTGCTTTCTGTGGGTCGCTGTTGCTTCCTTGATGAATCAAAACATGGCCTCCTGTATGATCCACTTGAAGAACTAGTGTTTACTTGCCACTCTGCCTCTTCTCCATGACAGCAGCATGCACTAACTGCTTCTAGTCAGCCATCTTGGCAAGTCAGCCATCATGGCGTTTCTTTTACTGACTTTCTTAATTATCTTGACAAAACACACAATATTTCCTTGGCCAATTACCTAAAAGGTAAAAACAAAGCAAACAAACAAAAAGTCTTTTCACAATTTCCTATTAAAAGTAGACCAATACCTCAAGAAAAAGTTGTTTTAACATAGGGGATGAAATTCTAATTTCCCTTCATAGTGTTTTTTATATTAATGCTTAATTTTTAGAAAAATTTACAAATAGCACATCTAATCTTAGCTAGCTCAATCACATATAACATTTCTTTCCCAAGGTTCCTCTTCTACAGACTTTTTGTATTAGTCCATTCTTAATGAAGAAATAGCCAAGAATGGGTAATTTATAGAGGAAAGAAGTTTAATTGACTCACAGTTCCACATGGCTGGGGAGGCCTCAGGAAACTTACAATCATGTTGGAAGGCAAAGGAGAAGCAGGCACTTCCTCACAGGGCAGCAGGACGGAGTGAGTGCAAGCAGGGGAAATGCTAGATGCTTATAAAACCATCAGATCTTGTGAGACTCACTCACTATCATGAGAACAGCATGGGGGAAACCACTCCCATGATTTATCTCCACCGGGTCCCACCCTTGACATGTAGGGATTATGGGGATTATAATTCAAGAAGAGATTTTAGGTGGGGACACAGCTAAACCATATCACTTTCTAATATCCAGTCAGTTTTTTTCTCCCCCTATAGGTCTTTCTCGGTTTGGATCAATCATTCTACTTTAGAACAAAAATTTTTCTCCTTTTGTTTTAACAGAGCAATACACATCCTCATAACTTATGCTTTTCCTTACCAAGAGCACATCTTACCTATATTGTATACTTGCATATAAAATAGTTTTCCTTATTATTTCTAGTAATTTTAGTTACGTATTTTAATTAGAATTCTTAGCCCTTTATGACCTTAATTTCTAGTGAATACTAGGAAGAAAGCAAGTGTGAATATCATACCAGCAGTCTATAGATTGGAAAATCTGTGGATTATAATTCTAGGAGCATGTACTGTTTTATAATGCATTTTTTTCAGTGTGGCACAGAACATTTATGAACAGTCCCAACTGTCTTTAGTCTCTCTGTGGTAAGAAATGGCAGAGGAAGCAAATTTTTATTTCTATCTTGTTAGGGCTTTTTTTTCCCCTGTCCTTCGTAACAATATTAAAAGTTTCTAGTATAGCAAGGACATTTTTCACATGGGAATTCTATCTTACCTCTATTTAACACTTGCTTTTAATAATTATGCTTGAAATGCTCATAAAGATGAGATATTAAATAGCTAGCCATCACCTTAAGTTATTTTTCTTGCTGACAAGTTATGTCACATAGAGATAGCATGAACTTTTTTTACTAAATAAACCTGGGGAAGAAGAGTTGTGCATCTGTATTATACTAAATGCTGACAACTCTGAAGGTATGCCTGCATTAATCAAGGCAATATACTTTTATTAGCTACTATTTACCAAAGATTATCCAAGATTATGTAAACATGAAAAATATTTTAGGTTTGTTTCTAAGGGTTTAAGGAATACCTATTTTATGTAAGAACTTATTTTTCTTTAAGCCAATTAAATAATTATCTTTTACAACTTAATTTTGGCAATACCATAAGGAAAAAGAAATATATTACACATTCATAACATACATACTGACATATATAAATATAAACATAAAAGCAAATCTTGTAGTATTCATTTAAAAATTTTAGCCCGGTGCCAAGTACAGTAACACAAAGCTCCCTGATATGTTAAAGGATATCTGGAAGTGAAGTTTTTCTGGCCCATGAGACAAGATTACATACCCAGATGGCTAAAGCTTTTGACTGATATTTGTAGAAAAGACTTAAGATTTTTCCGATTCGCCTTCTCTAAGAAATCTTTTAAAGAGGAAATCTTTGATTCATTTAACATCTTAGATGTTTAATACTTCTGTGTATCAATTAAAGAATGTGTCCCATTGCTTTTGTGGTATGTCAGATCCTTTCTTCTCTAATGTGCCTCACAAGCGATCAATTTTATCTTGGTTAACACTTCACTGTGGCCATTGTAATTCCTTCTTGTCTTTAGTGAGGTTAACAGATTTAAAAAAAATGCACAGGTTCTGGGGCCATAATTTTTGTACATAGAGAAAATTGTGCTTATTTTTGGTGTTTTTAAAGAGGTAAACATTGGGTTGATATAAGAAGCTAGCAGGCAGCTTCACTGATATTTCTTTAAGGCAAGTTTTTCTTTTCCTTTTTCTTTATCATTGTCTTCATCTTCTCTCTCCTTTCACTTCTCCTCTGAAGGTATTCCGGAAGAAGATGGAAACATGTAGGCAATAGTCTTTCCGCCACTGGAGATGTTTTATCATATTCAGAGAAACTAAATGAGATATACCAGAATCCTCGCATATTCAAGTCCCGCAGTTGGCCCTGCAGAACCTTCATATATACAAAAGCCCTTCATATATGCAGATTTCCATTCCTGCAAATACTGTATTTTCAATATGTGTTTGGTTGAAAAATATCAGCTTAGAAGCTGATATTATAAGCTTGTAAACTGACATTTTAAGCAGACCTATGCAGTTCAAACCCATATTATTCAAGGGTCAACTGTATATTTACAGGTCACCTTTCATCTGAAGGACTTTCATGTCTACTACACAGGATGTTATAATGATCTATTGTCAAAAATGTTCTTTGCAACTTACAGAAACATGAGAGTACAGCTTGTGTGGCTCAACAGAATTCTGATAAACTCTAGGATTAAAAAGAGAGAAGAAATAAAGGCAGGGTTGAAAAATGAGAAAGAAATGATAGTCTTTTAGACAAGGAGTTAAGTATTCAATTCGCCATATTTTTGAATTCTACCAAGCTTTGGAACACTCTCCTTGGCCCAGAAAATCTATCAGGAAACTGTACTTGAGCTAGGCTGCAAGTGAATGTTTGCTATACTTTCGATTTGTTATGGTCCTGTGTAGGAGAGAAAATGCTAAGCAAATATTTGCATATTGCACTGTAAGGAAATAAAAAATGCATTAGAAGTGAATCAGTTGACCTCATGTTGTTTCATTAGAAGTAATTTCTTTTGGATTGTCTCTGCCTATAAATGTTCTTCCTTTGCATCTTAACAACAACTCTGTCATGAGTAGTCTGTGACTAGCTTTATTTTTTCCACTTTTGCTCCCCATGAATATGGTAAGTACCTCTCCCACTCTTTATGGGGCCTGCGTTTTACATCCTGCAAAGACCAGTTACATTTAATCCATCCTTTTCTTTAGAGGAACATTTCTCAAATTATCTCTAATTTTTTGGTGTTTTACAGTAAAATGGATCAGGTCTAAGGGTTCTCTAAGAGAATTTAGCATTTGACATTTTTATTTTTATAGCAATTGAAATACATCAATAAAACATATTCAGAAAGGGCATTATATCAGACACTGCTGGCCTATTTTAGATTTTGTCATTTTTTATCATAGTTAGTTTTTGACCTTAATAATAAGTATTATTTTAGTTATTGCTAGTGAGTGATAGGATAGAGCTAACTAAATGCTTAAATGATGTGCCTGGATCCCCGCATAGATCCACAGTTATTATATTCCTTAGGGTTTTGCTATAGCTATATAGAGGAAAGGGAATTCAGTCATCCCAATGCACATGGTACCCTGGGCATGCCAAACTCAAAAGAATCTATACTACAGCAGCTATATGCACAATGTAAGTACCAATTTAGTTTCACCAAAAATCATCACTTTGTATTAAATTCGTATCATTGATTGGAATTTTACTGGCCGACCTTTTTAAGTTTTGTATATGTTAAGATTCTACAATTATATACAACTCTAAGTGTAAGAAAAGTTATTGCTAGTTTTATGTGGGTGCATATATAGGTAATATAATAAAAAATAATTTAGGTTGAAGGTTTATGTGGTAACTTTTCTCCTTATAAAGGTTTTTTCCTGGAGTGATATCATTAAAACATTCAAAACAGATTTTATGAAGTAACTACTGACACTACGGAAAAGAGCTGAGCTCCATTCTGATTTGTGCAGAGTGACTGGGTATTCAGGGAGAATAAGGGAATAGGAAAGAGGAACAGCAGGGGCCTGAGCAGAGTCAAGGAAGTGAAAAATTACAAAAATCAGAAAGTGGAGGTTGGTCCCTGTAAACCCATGTGGGTTTGTTAACTGGTGCTCATCAAAGTTAGACTCCTAACCTTCTTTAGAGATTGGGAGACAAGAGCCCTATCTTCAGGCATTGACTGGAGGAAACAGTCAATTCTTTTGTCTACCTTGAGCTGATCAGGCAGGAACTTTAAGGGGTGGGAGGGTAGGACCATTCTAGGGTTGTGACCTTAGGCTTTTAGAAACTATTAATACATGCATGTTTGTTAAAGTCTTTATAGGTCAGTGTTGAGGCTGAGCTGAAAAGAGTGCTCAGAGGAACCTGGAGAGACTTTGGTTAAAGAGAGGATCTTTGTCAGTGATAATTACAGTGTGGCACTTTCTGATAAACAGTGACTGCTATGTTTTAACTGTTGTTAAGTGAGCTTGATTTTAATATATTAGCTGAAAAAATATGAAAGATTATGCTCTTCATTTCAGGGCCGAGATCTGGACTATAAAATTCAGGAATATAAAGAAGCTGGAAAAATCTTTCCAGATAACCAAATAATAGAATGGTTTATCCAACTGCTGCTGGGAGTTGACTACATGCATGAGAGGTATGTTCATTTGCTACTAGGAATATGATATATTTTTAACAGTCATGTCTGAACTTGAAAAGTGAATTTTTTTTCTATAATTGAAAGAAAACAAGTTCAAAAAATATATGATTGTAATTAAACATCTATAATATGTTTTTCCTTGAGAAAACTGTTGAATGATTATATCTAGAGGATTTATTTGCATAGTTTTTTGTTGCTTTTCTAAAACTCAAGTTGGCCATGAATATAAGATAGAAATTTGTGTTAAACACATTTCATTATATCTGATCATCTCCTATGAATTACAGGAAGTTCTCAGATACTTTTGGCATCCTATGAATTTATTGTATCTCACAGCAGGCTTCAGTGGTAGATATCTTAGTATGCCGCAAATGAATTGTGTGGTCACCTTGGAATGTGTCAGTGCACACTTAGCTAGGTTCACATCCCAAAAGAGCTCAGTAATTGAGACAGAATGTATTCTTTAGCCTCAGAGAGATAAGTATTCAGATAGAAAGTCAGTTTTGATGTGAAGTATCTGATAAGGTCAATTATTTCGATTATCTGTGATTTACATTTACAATCTCTGCCTCAAAAATGTATTTTAAAACTTTTAATGAATTTTTATAGGTCAAAAGTAAGAAGTTTTAGAAGTTAAATGTTTTAGAGACCCAAAAATGATATGAACATGTTTGAAAAGATGAACATACATAGGCAAAAAAGAAGTGGATAATCTGAGGTGTATATGGTAGCTTTCATCTTGGGAGTGGCCATTAACACATGGTACCATTCTTCTTGAACGAAAGGGGTGATTTATAAGGCACACCAAGGTCTAGCTATCCATGGATGTCAGATTGCTTAAATGTGTCATCTGTACTTTCTGAAAGCATAAAAAGTAATCGGATTATTTTGTAATTTGCCATGTATCTCCTAAAACACACGCTTGTTGATACAGATAGCTACTGATTTATTGACACCTCATAACAATCTGTTGGATGATGTCAAACTATCTTAAGAAATCTTTTATTAAAAGATTATTTGACTTAAAAGAATCAAATAATCTTTTAATAAGGTACCCAAAGCTGCTGACTATAAAACGTCTGTGTACATACATTTATATTGGTGTTTCTTTTATTTTCTTTACTACTTCTAACATATTGTTAGGTTACACACAAGAAAAACAACTAAAAGGCCGGGCGCGGTGGCTCACGCCTGTAATCCCAGCACTTTGGGAGGCCAAGGCGGGCGGATCACAAGGTCAGGAGATCGAGACCATCATGGCTAACACTGTGAAACCCCTTCTCTACTAAAAATGCAAAAAATTAGCCAGGCGAGGCGGCGGGCGCCTGTAGTCCCAGCTACTCGGGAGGCTGAGGCAGGAGAATGGCGTGAACCCGGGAGGCGGAGCTTGCAGTGAGCCGAGATCGCGCCACTGCACTCCAGCCTGGGCGACTAAGCGAGACTCTGTCTCAAAAAAAAAAAAAAAAAAAAAAGAAAAACAACTAAAAAAAAACCACATATTAAGATGCTAACTATTGTATTCTATGCACAAAATACAAAACTGGAATCTGGTTGATTTAAGAACCCAAATAGTTTTGATACCTTTAAGACTGCTTAGTAATAGTTCAAATAATGAGTTTAAAATAACCCTTCAAACAAAGGCTTATGATTTTTAAATCTTTTAATATTCAAAGAAAGCCATTAAATGAGACTAAATATTTGGATATTTGTGAATCCTTGGATTTGAAATACAATCGTTTGTGATTCAGGTAACAAGTGATGGTGCTTCTTAGTCATTGTGTTATTATAACCAATTATTGTAAAGTTCTTGTGTACAGAGAAATTACAGTTTCATATTTCAGTTCATCAATTCGTTCGTTAGTGATAAATTAAAAATAAGTGTCAACCTCAAAGAGCTGTCAGTAAGTGAGCAGACATAAAACATGTACTCTTATAACTATAAGCCATGTACCATGGTGGATGTACATGATTAAGTGTCTCCACTATTCACTAGATTCATGACCTTGAGCAAGCTGGTCATGAAAGCAAGCTCTCCTCTCTGAACCTGTTTCCTCATCTATTAGGTTGGTGCAAAAGTAATTGTGGTTTTTGCCATTACTTTTAATGACAAAAGCCACGACTATTTTTGCACCTACCTAATATAAAGTAAGGATAATAATAGGACTCTCCTTGCTTACATTATAGGGTAGAAAATATGCGTTGAGATATTATACAGTTTAAAAATTTGCAAAATGTTAAGCTCTGTGTAATGTCATTATAATTTAATATAGAAATGAAAGCATAGACATCAAAAGCAGTTTTAAAAACAATGACAGTAACAAGTGTTAGTAAGCATATGGCGCACCTGGAATTCTTTTATATTCTTAATGGGTATACATTGATATAAACACTTTTGAGACATGTTTGGCAATACTTCCTAAGCCAAACATACAAATACCTATGACCCAGTAATTCTATTCCTAAGGGTAGAAGTGAGTGCTGATGTCCAACAAAAGGTATACAGAAATGTCCATAGAAGCCTTTTTTGTAATTGCGAAAACACTAAAAAATATTCATCTACAGTGGAATGGTTACATAAGTGTGGTATGGCCCTATAATGGACTTTTAAAATTACTATTCTGTAATTTTAAAACAATAGACAATTGATAATAAGCATGACCTGGGTGAATCTCAGAGATCAGATGTAGGATGAAAGAAACCAGGTGCAAAAGAGTCTATACTGTATGACTATATTTATATGAAGTTCAAAAGTAGGCAAAACTAATCTAAGATAAGTCAGAATAGAGATTATATTAGCAAAGGGGTTTTGCCTGGAAGGGGCACAAAGAAAGCTTCTGGGATGTTAGAAATGTTCTATATATTAATCTGGATGGAGGATTACAAGAGTGGTACATATGTTGATATATATGTAAAAAATCATCAAATTTAAGATTTTTGCATTTTAATGTAAGTTATACTGTAGTTTAAAACAAGTGATAAAAGTGCCAAGAAGAGTACAATTTAAGTGTTACAGGAGATCAGAAGAGAGATAACGTTTTCATTTGGCGAATCAATGGAGGCTTCTTGGAAGAAGTAGCACTTGACCCAAGGTAGGTTTTGAGTATGATGAAAAATGGGTCAGAGCTTTCCAGATGTAGGGAACAGAGCACAGCCACAGAGGTGGAAAAACATGGAAATCTTAGAGAGAATGGTGAGTGGTTCTGTTGGGAAGACTCTTGGAGTAATGAATAAAGTTGTTGGCAAAGGTAGGCTGAGGTCAAGAGGGCTTTATTTTGGAGCACAGACATTGAACTCCACAAGAGCTTTTTGAGTGGAGTTATATAATATTGCCAGAGCTTGCTTCAGGAAGGTGAGATGATAAATTATACCAAGGAGAGAAGATAACTTGGGTTATCAGTCAAGAACCTTTTATAATATACATGTATGAGATTGTAAGGCCTAAACCTAGCTGGCAGAAGTGGGTAGAATGAGGAAGGATAATAATGAACTCAGTAAGTTGAAATGGCTGGACGTGAAATTAAGTAGATCTGTGACATGTGATACAAGGTCAAAGATGAACCTGAGGTTTTGTGCCTGGATGAATGAGAAGTTGGAAAGACAGGTTTGAAACAATGGTGATGAGTTTAATTGTGAATATGCTGGGTAGAATATGGAGAGAGAAGGAGAAGAAGAGGGAGGAGAGAGAGAGAATGAGAATGAGAGTAGGAAGTTAGAAGTGAGACCCTGGATCTTAGGGAACCATCAGGGCTTGACTTTGTTTGGGTTCCTACAATATCAGAGCCCTGAAACAAAGACTAGGAAACAAATAGATTTTTTAGGAGGTAGTCTTAGAAAGCAGAAGCCAATGAGTGGGAAGAGTGAGAAGCAGCCACAAAAGCTGTGCAGAATGCATGATTGAACCAGTGGCTGCTGTGGGCAGAGGGATGCAAAGGCAGGACTCTTCTCATAGTGTGTGAAGTTTTGGGTTTCTCTTCCTGCTTTCTCTCCTGACTTTTTGGAAAAAAAAAAAAAGCAGGCCAGGCACAGTGACTCACGCTTGTAATCCCAGCACTTTGGGAGTCCAAGGCAGGTGGATCATGAGGTCAGGATTTCGAGACTAGCCTGGCCAACATAGTGAAACCCCGTCTCTACTGAAAATACAAAAAATTATCCGGACATGGTGGTGAGTACCTATAATCCCAGCTATTTGGAGGCTGAGGCAGGAGAATGGCTTGAACCTGGGAGGCGGAAGTTGCAGTGAGTCGAGATTGCACCATTGCACTCTAGCCTGGGCGACAGTGCAAGACTCCATCTCAAAAAAAAAAAGAAAAAAAAAAAAAAAAGCAACCTTGCTTAAATATAACTGTTGTTTTCTAGCACTATTATGAATTTCCTCTTGAAAAATTTCTTGTGTTTCTGGGAATTTGGAGTGAGGAGGGGAAGGAAGGTGTCTTCCTCTTGATCCAACTTTAGAATGGTTTTTAAATGGAGCAGTTACATATATATATATTATTCCTGATGGTAAATGTGTAATCTGTGTTTCACTTCTGTTGGTTTTCAATATTTAATTTAGGATAAAACATATTTCCTTCAGAAAATAAACTTATTTATCTTAATTATCTGATTTTAAAACATTTTAAATCCAAAAGAATGATTTTTTTAGCATATGGCATAAACATTTATAAATAATGATGTTAAAAAGCCAAGACTATTCACAGCTCACTGATAGCTACTTTGGGAATGTAGCACTAAAACATGTTCTTGCTGAAGGGAGTCATGCTGTATTAACAAAACTCCAATGTCAGTGGCTTACAGCAGCAATCATTTCCTGCTCATGTTGCATATTGACAGATAGGGGTCATCTGCAAGTCTGCTCTACATGTCTTCATTCCAGTACCCAAACTGAAGGAGCAACCCCTATCTGGGATGGGCTTTACTCCTGGTGGAAGGAAAAGCAAGAGCGCAGAAACCCCTTGCTCAGACATGACAATCATCCAGTCTGTTCACATGTCATTGAC